TTTCAGTGCCTAGTTTTCATAATAAAAACCATGTTCATTTTAATGTTCTGAGATTAGTTATTGCATGGCCCAATTCTTTAGCACAAGAGATAATGTTAACTTAAAGGAATAAGATAGCAGCAATAATTACTTTTTCCAAAAACTGATTTCTTTCAAAGAATACCAAAGAAGGGATATTTTGAATCAATAGAGTCTTTGCAAATTTAGAGCACAAATGGTAAATTGTATCTCCCAGGACTTCAGGGCTAGTGCTTTTAACAAAATCATTATTATTTATGAAGAAGGAAGATATATCATAAGAATGGGAAATATCAGGTTTGTATAAAAGAAAGTTTGTTTCTTATTCTTTATCATGAAATATTCAGCTTTAGGCACCAATGTTCATTTTATTGATTGATTGGTTGGTTGGTTGATTTAGGCAGAGGGCACGTGTACTTTTTAGAGAGAAATAGAAGGAGAAGGAGAGGGGAGAAAACACATTGTGGCATGATCATGCTGCAATCTCTTCTCCATTTCTTCATTCTGTCAGGACTAGGGTGTGAACATAAAACTGGTATATTTTTTCAAACCTCTGGGGCTGGGATTTTGACAGCATGGTTGGCCTTGAAGAATTTGGCTCCCTTAACCACCAAGACACAGGGCTAGCCTGAAGCTGACATTTTTGCTAAAAGGATAGATTATTATGTTAGTTGGTATTTGTTAAGAAATTTAGTTGGTGTCTCATGAATTTCTTAGAAAATTCCCATAAAGTCTGCTCTTATGGATGCATAATGCAATGTTTTATGAGAACATATCTCTCATATGAGAGATGTTAAGTTTCTGGTTTAAAACTGAAAAGGAGCCTCAAAAGTTGTCAATCTAGAGTTTAAGAATGAATGGGACCAGCAATTGGCATACTGGCTATGTCACTGGACTCCCATGTTGTTGACCATGGTTCGAGTCCCAGCCCCAGTGTCCTAAACTCATGCCAGGCACGTGTGTGTGTGCCCAAGATCCTGAGAGAATGGAGGAAAAGGGATTGTGGCATGGCCACCCCCACTGAGGGGTGATTTCTCACTTTCTGTCTCCCTGTCTCTCTCTGTGTCTTTCTGGTGAGTGCATACGCCCCATAGCATAAACTTCTCAAAAAAAAAAAAAAAAAGAATGAATGAATGAAAAGGAAAAGTCTGAGTAGAAGATGAAGAGAATATCAAGATCCTGAAATGTTAGAGGTATCATTAGTCCTATTCCCTCCCCTACACCATTCTCAAACACAAACCAAAAAAGGACTAAGGAAAATATTGGGTTGTTGGAAAGTCATGACACATTTTTGCATAGAAAAACATAGAAAATGCATCATGATTTTTCCAACAACCCAGTATAATTAAAAGTCAAAGAATGACAAAATAGTAATAGTAGTGAGAAGAACCAAAACACATTCACATATATGAAATAATTTTATGAATCTTTATCAGAGATTCTTATTTGTGTTATCATGAAAACCAAAACATGTAAATGATTAAGAGCTCCAAGCAGATGTTTGTTAAATGATCTTGACAGATGTTCAATGTCTAAATATGTATGTGCTTTCATTTAATTGACTTTCAAATAATATATAACGAATCTACAGATAATTATAGATTCAGTATTGGCTGACGTTTTTTGTAATATTCACATACTTGTGTTAGTTCTTAGTTATTTTTAGACCATAGTTTATTTTGAACACCCATCATGCCATGAATTAATTCATAGGGAATAGGTCTAGAAGCTCAGGTTTCTTTCCACTGGTTTTCACAAAGTGTGCTTCTCTGGGTGGAGCAGGCTGGCACTTTAGTTGAACCCAGGACCTTTCTCTTTGGCCTCCTTCTTTTTCTCGTTATTTTCCTTCACACATTTTAGGAAGCTATCTCTGCTCTTAGAATGCTTAATACGCTCAATGCACACACTAATTCTCTTGGCAAGAATCTTGCCCTTAAGTTGTTGTTCACAACAATGCCAACAGCATGCTGGGTAACATTGTAGACTCTCTCAGTTTTGCCATGGTAACATTTGTGGGGCATTCCTTTTTGAATAGTACCCATTCCCTTGATGTCTATAATATCACCTTTCTTAAAGATTCGTATGTATGTTGCCAAAGGAATCACTCCTTTTCTAAAAGGCCTAGAGAACATATATC